AACGGCGCTTCAGATGATGGGGCAGGTGGCAGGGGTAGGGGGCAAAGTTCGCCCCACTCTTCAAGTACCCCCCCCCCCCAAAGGGCCATTTTTACTTTGTAAAGAAGTGCCCCTTCCCCTTTTTAACTCGGATAAGCGCACATTTCATCAACACATGTGCCCCCTTTCCTATCTGATAAGGGCTATTTAGAAAAATGAGGCCCTTCATAAATAAAAAGTGTCCCTTTTCATCTCTGGTAAATGACCATTTTCATATATGAGAAGTTAATTCTTTTCACTTCAGTGCGCTCTTCACCTCCGATAATTGCCCTTATTCAAATCTGAGAGATGCTCGTTTTACTTTGAAAAGTACCCCTTCCCCTCCTGATAAGTACTCTTTTCATCTATGATGGGTGCCCATTTTCACCTTTGCTAACTGCCCTTTTATTTTGAATCGTGCCCTTTTTCCTTTCTAATAAGGGACCTATCCCCTTTTCACCTCTGATAAATCAATTTCTGATGGATGCCCCTTTTCCGTCGACAAATGCCCATTTCCCATACTCATAAGTGCCCTATCTCATTTCTGGTGAGTGCCTCCTTTCAGGTTTAAAAAGTGCCCCGTTTGAACCTTTGATAATTACTCTTTGTACCTTGACACATGCTCCTTTTCTTTTCTAATAGGTGTCTTTATCCCTTTCGATATGTGTCCCCTTAACCTCTCATCATCAGGCACGTAGGCACGGGGGGGGGGGGGGGGGGGGGGGGGGGGGGGGGCACGTGCCCCCTAACCTGCTCATCATTAGTCTTGCACCTAATTTAAAGCGACTAAGAGTAATTTCCCCTAAAGTTCGCTCGCTCGCTCGCATTTATAGATGATACAATTATATGTCACTTTAAAACAAATGTTTTTTTCAGTCTTCCGTGATGCTTATAACCCCATCATGATTTGGTTTTTTTCCACTTTTAAGATGTAATTTTTCACTCTGCGACCTCACAGATCTTAAATTTTTTTCTCGCTCGCTTTGCTCGCTCGCAAATGAATATTCAGACAATCACACCAAGCCGAAAGTGCGATGCTTAAGCAATATCTTGTATGATATATAAAGAAAAACAAATATTGAATCGTCCCTGATAATGGAATCACAATGAAAGGGTATATACCAATGTCTAAAAAAATGTATATTTTCGCTTTGAGATTTCGCTTGGTAGGTGCCCTTTTTTGTTGGTGCTTTCCACTTTGGAAATAGCTCCGCCGCCCCTGCTTACACATTAGCGCCGGCGTTAATTTCACGCTTGCGCGCACAGGGTGTGTGTGTGTGTGTGTGTGTGTGGGGGGGGGGTCCTCTCTAGCTCTGAAGCTGATTTTTTTTTTTTACCTAGATTCGTGCGATTCGGTTAATACTTTTAGAGGGAGTCTGAGGGGTGATGTGCCCCCCTCTGAAGCTGACATTTTTTTGATTTTTGAAACTGGATTCGTGCGTTTTGGTTAATACTTTTTTGGGAGTCTGATTTGATTTCAAAACACCTGCAGTTAATGCGGGATGGGGTTGCAGCCTCTCTTTCCCCGAACATTTAAAAATTACCAATATGCATTTGTTATATCTTATCTCGTATATTTAGGTGACAATTAACACTTTTCACAACATACATAAGCTCAAATTTCCGCTAACTCGCTTCGCTCACTCGCCAAATTATTAAACCAGGAAATAGATATTGGGGCAAGAGGCTTCAGCCCCCACTGATGGAAATGTCAAAAAAATTGCGCGCGAGCATAACTTGAAAACGGGGAATGTTGATATCGGACAAGAGATGTAACGTGAGCATGTCCCCTTTCCAAAATAATTGTGCCCGTTTGTAGGTACCAGTACACTATTAAAGTACAGTGCTTCTAATATGACCTTATGTCAGTATTGGTAAGTTTAAATAACGGCCTGCGCGAATTTCGAATTTCCGCCCCCCCCCCCCCTATTGGAAAATCCTGGATCCGCGCCTGCAAATGTATTCTTGTGATCTCATATTGCTATGCCTACAATATAGGGTTGTCAGTCAAGATACAGAAATATTTACATGAATATAACCTTATTACATTTAGAACATTTTTACTATTACATAAATGGAGTGAATATATATATATGCTTGATATAAGAATAGATACAGAACAAAAAAACTCTTCCCGCTATATGAAATTGAAACGATATTTCATCAGAAAGAAAATAAATACTTTATCTCATTAACCATTACTCTACAGTTGAGTTCTCTTCTCTACCATAAAAGTATATAAGAGGTAACTGTTGGCTTAAATACAAAAGTAGGACCGTTAGGACGTAAGGTATGAGATTGCTCTCTTACCTAACAAGGAGCCAGCAGTACCATTCAAAACCCACGTCTGCTCTCCCCAAAGGCAAGATGGAAAAAGAGACTGACCATACGGGCCTCGTAAATTACAACATTCTTATCATGACAGAGAGAGAGGAGGCAAGAAAGTGAGAGAAGGGAAAAGAGAGGAATGTGGACGTGTGTGTAAGCAGGAGGAATCCCATGTACGCAAGGAGAGAGCAAGATAGAAACATGAAGAGCGGAGAGCGAAAGTGAGGCCAGGAACAAACACTGGGGTGCGATATGATACACTGATGGAGCAATTTCAGTCGAGGGGATAAAGTTAGTTTTTGGTCATGCGATTGCATTGTGAAACACGGAAAGAAACAGTGTGGAGTCGATCAAAAAAGTTTGATCATCTAGCATACAAGTATTGGTGTGTACTGCAAGGTTCTGGAATCATCAAAATTATAAGAAATTTCGCCCAGTCTTGGTAAAGTTGCAAGCACTGTACACAGAAAGATGTATGGGACTGCACGAACATGTATCATAAAAATCCGTCCCGATTTGTATGCTGTTATACATGTCAATGTTACTGAAGATATGCTTTTCAGGGAACATTTCAATCTGATGTTCTTCCACTTGTATAATAACAATGATAACGTTCACAAATTTATTCTTAGGAATTTACAGAAAACCAAATAGTGATTTTACCTTTTTTGACAACTTGGAAAGTGCTTCAGATAGTGTTCTTTCTTTTCGGTCTGCACTATAGCGGAGCACTTATTTTAACATGCTTACATCCAATCCCTATTCAAATAAATTGTCTGAATTGTGTACTTTAGGATTTACTCAACTTGTTCAACAACCTACTCGCATTACTCCCAATAGCGCCTCGTTAATTAATTGATTTAATATGTGTTTCCAACACAAAGGCCCGAATTCACAAGCAAGGTTTGAGCTCAGACCTCCTTTTGTTCTTTTCAAACCAGGTTTGTAAAAAAATGCGTAAAACGCGTCATATGACGTACGAAAACCAAGGTTTGTCGACAAACCTCCTTTGTGAATTCGGGCCAATTATTCCATCGAAAGCTGGAGTTCAATCAGGCGGATTAAGCGAATTAGTGTACTTTGTCACAAATCACATCATCCAAAGTTAACGCCCAAATGTTCAGGTCCTTTGACGAAAACGACTTTAAAAATGACCTTGCATCCATTGATTGGGATTCAGTCTTCTCTTTAGAAGAATGTCGACCAATTATGGGATTTATGTTCGTCGTCAATGCTTAAAGCTCAGTAACAAACATGCTCCGTTCATATATGTGAATAGAAAGATTAATGGTTCTCCCTGGATTGACGATGAACACTTGGCTTTAGCCCGATAGAGGGACTTCAACAAAAAGAAGTTCGACCAACTTAAAGCTAAGATAACGGAATCCAATTATCAACCTAACATACCAAACTATGAAGTTGCACTGGGGAAAATACACTTGCTTTCAAAACAAAGCTAACAATTTGAATAAACAATTGATAGGTTTTATTATAGGACTTACAGAAATAGCAACGATTTTCGGAAAACTTGAAAGTTGATGATTGATTTACTTCCAATCAATCATCACCTTCCGAAAATCGTTGCTATTTTCCGGAAGTCCTATATAAAAACCTTTCAAGCAAAAAGTCTTAAGAAGAAAAGCATATTGTTATCAACCGAGGTGTTTTTTTCTGATAAAAATATTATACATGTAGTTAACAAATTCAATGAAATGTTTAGTAGTGTCGGCAGCGATATAGCTTCTCGTTTAAACACAACAGATGATGATACGAATATGTTTGAAAGTTTGTCATAAACAGCTTTCTCTTTTAAATTTGGAAAAATTGACTCTGATTTTGTACTGAAAGATTTAAGTACTATTGATAGTACAAAAGCGACTGGTTTGGATGATTTACATCCTCGATTATTGAAATTGGGTGCTCCTTTCATATCACAGCCTCTAACCTATAACCGATCCTTGCAGACAGGCCGCTTTCCAAAAGACCTAAAACTTGCTAAAATTATCCTAATAGCTAAAAGTAAACGATCAAATCAAATCACGATCTTCAGACCTATTTCACTTTTGTCATCTATTTCTAAAACACTGCAAAAAGCTGTTCACTTACTTGTCTGTGATAGCTATTAACTCTCTTATTCATATTCATTTATTCATTTAATTATTTAGTTAGTTAATTAATTAATTATTCACCTCTATTTATTCATTTTTATTTATTTATTTATTCACTCATTCATGTAATGTTCAATTATTTATCTATGTATTTTTTTTTTATTGTCCCAGTACTTTTTATTCCTGTCCATACGACTTGATGATTTCGTGGGAAGGCCATTTACCTGGATCTTCGAATCAGGAAGAGAATAACCTACATTCTTTTTTAATGAACAATTTTGTTGCTGTCCCGATATTATTTTTGTATTTATTATGTAAAAAAAAAAGCACCACTCTTAGCTTGCTGAGTGGCTACTATTATTAATTGAGCTGACCCCCCCCCCCCCAAAAAAAAAAAAAAAAAAATAAATAAATAAATAAATAAATAAAAAAAATTATATATATATATTATATATATATATTTGAATTTATTCTACTTTAGATTATTTACATTTATTCATCGTTGTATGAAACATGTTTTAACGCATTTCACAAGGAAATACGTGTCAATTTCAATACACTGTGTCGCAAAACAGATGAGTATACGGGGGTTCCCCTTTCGAAAGGAAATGGATAACGACTCGATAAGAAGCATGACGTCACAATTACGGACTTTCATATCGTTTGCACTTCCTTGTCTGATACGATATTGATACAGAAATATAGGCAAACTTACAACACGGACAGCATGAAAGAATGTGTGCGTATACATAATACAGGCTAGGATAGCTCGGAATGATAACCTTTCCAGATGACATAATTTTGCACAAAGAACAGAGACAGCTATGTCTGTTAGTTGAATAAGATTCCGTTTCAAGATAATGCAAAGACCATTTCACAAAAAAGGAGTGAGAAAAATCATTGACGACATCATTTCATCACGCTAAATTGAGTGTGTTAGTAGTAAATCACATGAAGAATCGGTAGTCTACGCTATACAGGTCAGGCAACGTTGTAAACGGGACAATCGCCGGTACATACACTGCCAGCAGCTTGGCCAAAGCTTGACCATCAACTTCAAGTAAGTATGCATTTAAGGTTTCAGGAGTTGAAGTTTAAAAGTTTCCTTATGCACTATAATCTTCTCATGTTAGGAAAGACTATTCTGTGACATGGATAAAATGCGTTATGATATTATACAGTATATCATTACCAGTGGCATATCACGGTCCTAGCATGAGTATGCGCAAGTGGGCCGGGGGAGGGGGGGGGGGCGGTAGACATCCGGGCCAATGTTGTTGTAATGCCATTGTCATGCCATGTAGCGAAGAAAGATGGTCTCGGAAAGTCACTTATATAACAGGAACAGTGGAAGCCAGGCAAAGAAGAGGCAGACCTTCTATTTCCTGGCTGAAAGACATCCTCATATCAAAAGCTGTAAGAGGCAACAAGAGCAACGGCAGACAGAAAAGGGTAGCATAAACTTATGGCGGCCACAACAGCGCAATTAGCGCCACCTGACTGCAGCTAGAAGAAGAGTGGCATTAGTTACAGCAGTATCCAATTATCCATGGTTCTTTTCAAGTGAATGAAGCGAGTGAACAAAATTATTGGCATATATCGTTTTGTGTTACAGTTTTTATTTTGTTATTTTGTGAGGAATTTGAGCTAGGTAACCTCAATACTAAATTTAATTCTCCATGCATGTGTTGATTTCATCAATATCTTCTTCTTCTTTTTTGTCCAGTTAATTGCCCAAGTTCTAAAGAATGAAACGACAATGAAGCGTTTTACAATGTTGCGAAGTTATCTGTTGAGGTTCCAACTGCAAATGTTGGGGATATTCTATTGGGCACCTATTCATTGGCGGCATCGCTGTCTCCTATGTACCGACGAGATGTGGGGAAGCAAGGCAGACAAATTACGTCATCATGGTAACTATTCTACTGTCAGTATAACACATAATCTAGCTGAGGAAAGTCACTGTTCAATTCAATGGTTTTATTGTCCATATCAACGGAATTTGTTTTACTTTTTACATGGCACATAATAAACTAAACATGATAGATGTATGATAAAGCAAACAACAAACTTAAAACAGGCCCAAATTACATGTATTAACAAAATACAAAATGTCTGCCGTAGTTTGTGCATTAAGCATGGACAATTTCATTTATTTTATTTCATTTATTTATTTCCACGTCAAGATAAAAACAACATTATATAATCTTCAACACAAATATTCGTAGTGGGAGGATCATTTAAAGCACATAAATGGCTTGTTAAAAATGATCTTCACCAAATATACAAAAAAGAAATAACTTAACCATACATAATTTACAAAAAATTAAGATTACCAAAAAAGGGAAGATAAATAAAATAGAGAAAAGAAGGAGGCAACGCAGCATAAACATGGAGATAATTACTAATAAAGTATAGTTGTTTAAATTGGTTAGTTTTCTTACTATTCTTAATTCTTAATTGTATTGGGAAGGTTATTCTATATTAATATACACCTCACTTTAGAAATCCAGTCATCTGATTGCTCGAAATTGGAGTCGTGATTTTAGCCATTTCCGTAAAATGCCAAAACCGGTCAATAGTCTTTTGAAAAAAGGGCACTTTTCATAAGACTATTGACCGGTTTTGGCATTTTACGTATATGCGTGCAATCTCAATGGGAAAGAGTTAAGCACACAGACTTATGTGGTGCGCGATAGCGTAAACAAACTTGATTACCATGATTGGTAAGTCGCACATTGTATTCTATGACCCTTTTCGGTATATAAAAGTTATAATGACTGCTTTAATATTCGAGGCACAGTTGTTTTTATAGGCTCTCGGGGAGGTTGCACGATCGTGCTATCACCCCTCGGCACGCCTCGGGGCGATAGCTCGATCATGTAACCTCCCATTGAGCGTATAAAAACAACTATATGTCTCTCATAGGCTATCACTAAATATCTAGTATCAATTACAAAATATCAAGTATCAAAATTAATTTAAAAAATGTATATAATATTGGCTACCCTTGAGTGGTATATCAGGTATATCGCATTCAGCTCGATCGCGAAATGCTATCTGAATACCACGAAAGAAAGCCAATATCCTTATTATTAGTATACATACAAACAATTGAACTACAATGACATGTAAAGGATTAAGGAGATTGATTTATTTACTAACTCCCAATGGTGATGCACTACACGAAAACAAGAAGTTTCAAGGCAATTTTCCAATCCAACAATGTCTCGACTAGTCTTAAAGCAAAATTTGGCAAGTCGAAAGGAAAGATGATCTAAGTTTGAATCCCAAGTTTAAACGCCATACTAGCAACGCAATTTACATTATATACAGGTCTTTCGTTAAAAGTTACTTTTGATAGTACATGTAGTTTATTGTCACATTACAGCGAATGAAGCCAGTATTGCGCTCTCTCTCTAGTGCTCTCTCTCTCTCTCTTTCTTTCTCTATCTCTCTCTCTCTCGGCGCTCACAGCTCACATCAATACTTGTATAGTTCTCTCTGAGGGCTCTGTAATGGTAGGCCTATTAATTATTACCTCGGCTTTAGCCCGACTTCCATGCATGATGAGGTGCTCAAGCATTCAAAGAATATACCCATTTACTTCACCTGGGTGGAGAGTGACAAATGAAGATTAACGCTTTGCAGGGAATTTGCACCGTGACCATGTGCTTCTTATCTTATCCACTTATCCACTAGACCACGACAAGTCATTGCCTTGTAATGACTTGTTCAAAACAGATGAACACATCGTAAACGACCACGAAGCCCGATTCGATGACCCACGTGACGAGGACTTTGCCGAGGACATGGACGAAAGCGCTGGTTTATTATCGCCCACCAACTATATGGGTGAACATTCTGAGATTTTGTGGGAAGAAAACACAGGAGATGGAGAGATTTGCGTTGTCTGTGCGAGTCTAAGGTGGAATAGAGAAGGGGACGTGGTTCGAAACATCGAGGAATGGGGTAAGGCTTATTCGATTATTGTCATGTTATTTGGCTTTGTCCTTCTTCGCATCATTTAATTAAATTGCAAATATTACAAAAAAGGGCCTTGAGAATAGTTTTGAACGTAGATTGTAGATATAGCAGAAAAGATATATAATATAATAATAATGTAAAAATTGGCTGCATTATCAATAAGATTAAGAAGGACTTATTGATTTTAATTTATAAAAAGGATCCATAACCCGGCACCACCATCTCTATGTTCGAAAATAACTGTTAAGGGAAGTTCTTATTCATTACGCAACCACAAATGTACTCTTCGCTTGGGCACACCCCGGACAAAATTTCTTTAAAATAGACAAACAAACAATTTCATTGACCCATGGAAGCCTCATGAGCATCATATTGCTATTCTTCCTCGGGACACTCCTGTTATTATTACCCCCAGAAATTGCCAGGTACCTATTTACACCTTGGTAGAGTGTGTGTGTAATTGCAGGGGTTTATACAGACGTGTATCGATCAGGTATGATTATTTACGACCTTTAACGTCACCATCCTAAAGACGTGACTCAGTTTCGAACCGGGGTCACCTGGGCCAGTTTGTAGGCGAAGACAGAGAGCTGACCAAGACAGCGAACGTGCCGCTAGACCAACTCACATCTCCCTGAAGAGAGAGAGAGAGAGGAGAGAGAGAGGGAGAGGGAGAGAGAGAGAGTGGCAAACGACCCCGTGTCTTGCCGAAGGAAGGTGGTGTCGGGCTGGGATTTGAACCCTTACCCCTTGGATTGAGCCTCAAGTGAATGAACCACTATACCACGACACCTCCACTTAATATCATAACTATACCAATGGTGAAAGGGTATCACCAAGGGAGCATCTCATTCCAGTCTCATTTTCTTGCGATAGTTTATGGCCCAATATCAAAGTCATATCCTCCCACTCACCCACACTGGCCAGCAAGCAACTAGCCATACGTATTTTTATGATTTATTACAAACAGCAGTAGAAGAAACTTGCGATGAAACCCATATTACCCAGTCTTCCCACTGTGGCATGCATAAATTCTGATGAGACATGAAAGGTGTGATCGAACTTTGTTAGACAAGGTTGCAAAGTCATTCGAAAATCAACCTAAAGCAATTTTATTAGCCTTGCCCAATTTCCATTGAAATGTGGTTTCATTACAATTAATGAAGTATTACGTATTTGAAAACTGATTTTTATGGAATGTACAATTTATGGAATTGAAATTGCCCTCCATCTGATTTTTAACAGTTTGTGATTTCTATAGGATATACAATATTATCGTCATGAAATAGCCTTGGAGTTGATTTCTCCATTGAAGTCTTTTTCGATGATGCCATTTCTTCATCATCCCTCAGTGCCTGGACCATTCCGCAGATCTGTTGGAACAATAGTGTCCATGCTCTTCATGGTAGTCCTGACCTTTGGCATGTGCTACAACACTGTCCTCTACTTCCGGTACCTGTTCGGTCGGGAAGACGAGGTGATGCACCTGACTTCGTTCATGTCCTTCTCCATCAGCTTGAGCTCTGTCACCTTGATCTGTGTGTACGCGAAAACCCGGTACTACCTGAGCGGGTATGGCCGCAACCTGGACACAGAGAACAGTCGATTAAGGGACTGGGGTTGGTGTGAGGTGCTGCATCAAGATTACATGGTAAGTTTACTGTTCCTGGCTAGGTATCTAGGGCAACTTACATGGTGAGACTATTGGGGAGAGGCCATGTCCACCTCATAAACCAATCACATCACCAGGATGATCCCGAATCGACGGTCTGGAGTCGGCCCGCAGTGTGACCAACGAAACCCGGGAAAATGCGTATTTGCTGAGATGGTCAACAAATTTCAGTGTAACTGTCACCAGACAATAATATACAAATAATATATGTTTGCGAGTGCACTAGTGAATATGCACTGCACGCAGGTTAAGGCACAGTAGGATAATGGACGAAACTGTCTTGTCGAGTTCATTGTCCGTCTCATTGTGACTTAACGAAGTGCAGTGCATATCACTAATGCACGAGCTAAAAACATGTATTATTTGTTTTATAAGATGGGTCTACAAAATGAGTATAAAGTCGAGAAATTTACGGCTGTAATCACCAAAATGCACCCCCGTGCAAACGGTAAAAATTAATGCACGCACACGTGATCCATTTCTGTGCTTCTTACTGGCTACATTATTGAACCCATTTTACAACTTTACAATATATACCCCAGTCGCCCTGCCAAACCGACTTCAGACCAACCGATATTTTAAAGAGAAGTTGAGTTCTGGGGAGAGGTGAACAATAATTTGTGAGCGTTTTCATTGGTATTATGCACGTGTGAAAGAACAGCAGAGAAAAAATGTTCCTTGAAAAGATTGGCTCTTCAAATGCCTTAATATTCTAAATATGACAGGTAACAGCTTAAAAATGAGGCAAGCATTTTTATGCCACATGTTTGTGTAGTCCCATATACAGCTTTCGGTGTACTGTGCTTGTGTTACCAAGACTGGACCAGATTTCCTATCATGTTGTTTCCAGAACCTTGCAGTACACACCGTCCATGCTACATGATCAACTTTTTCTGATCGATTCCACATCGTTTCTTTCTCAACGCATGAATGCAATCGCATGACTGGGAGCGTTTTACAAAACTTGTCATCAGTGACAAATGACAGTTTTTGTTATAAGCTATTGAAATCCTCGCTTCTGATTGGTTAATATCAGCAAATTTGTCACTGAATTTTTTGTTTTTGTCATTTGTCATCGGAAATAGGGCTTGTGAAACGCCCACAGAACTCAACTTTATCTTGAAGTATTCGAGGCAATGCACTGAATATTGTTCCTTCTGTAGGTGTCGGTCTCATCGTTATGACAGACGTATTAGACTGAATATCTCAAGAGACCGATGCTCTCCAGTCAGTAAAAGAAAGAAGAATACATACCCCAGACAATTAACCAGAATGTTGCATATGCCTATGCTATTTTTGCCAATTTATTCTCTTCAGATAACAGTTATTTTGAGGAGGTAACTGGTCGGGTGATCCGATAAAAAACATTTAATTAGCATGATAAAGGTAAAGGTAAAGGTAAGGCTGCAATTTGCTTTAAGTTTAAATTGGGGTTAGGTAAAGCGTTTGGTCCAGGGTTGAAGTCAGTTTAAACCAAGAAAAGTCGGTCGACATTATCTTTATGCTTTAGAAAAAGGGGGAAACACTGTGTTTGTACATTTTCAATTTTCAGACTCGCCGTCTTCAGTACCTGTGTGGAGCTAGTGGTTTCGTCTTCCAAGCATCTCTTTTCACATGTCGTGTCTCCTATGGCCCGCTGTCAATGTGATCTTCGAGATTGTCTACATGTACTTCAACAGTGTGGCCCAAGTCCAGCCTGTCAACTTGATGTTTGCCGTGATCGAGGTTTGTTACTTTATACTCTGACCTTTCCACCGATTTTTTTTCTCCATCAATTCCAGGATCAGCATTTCACACATAGCCTTATACACACCAAACAGTCACCAAAGCCAGTTAGCCAGTGGATAAGCTGTTTAAACACGCGATCCAAAAAATGAGATACCTATAATACTTCTTTTTTCGGCCAACGAAAATCTCTGACCACCTTCGTTCTTTGACCACTTTGTTCATCCAGGTACTGTCCGTCACACATGGGATGCTGTTGTTTGGCGTATTCTGCTACACCCTCTTCCTCCTTCGTTCCTCCTTCGAGACCGAGTGCAACCTGCTACTCGCTTTCTTCGTTGAGAACGAAGGCCATCTCGATCGGTGTCGCCTGCGGTTAGCCGAAACTTACCGCGATTACAGGGTCTTTCGCTCATCGGTCAGTGCCTGGGTTGCTTTCATTGTTACCATTGGCATCCTAGGTGAGTCATTCCAGTGGCACATACAGGATTTGTATTTTGAAGAAGAACAAAAAAAAGGGGGGAGGCACGATATTCCAAACTCATCTGACGAGAAACAATCAAAGTGGCCATCAGATTTTGTATTTTGAAGAAGAACAAAAAAGGGGGGAGGCACGATATTCCAAAATCATCTGACGAGAAACAATAAAAGTGGCCATCAGATTTTGTATTTTGAAGAAGAACAAAAAAAGGGGGAAGGCACGATATTCCAAAATCATCTGACGAGAAACAATAAAAGTGGCCATCGGATTTTGTATTTTGAAGAAGAACAAAAAAAAGGGGGAAGGCACGATATTCCAAACTCATCTGACGAGAAACAATCAAAGTGGCCATCAGATTTTGTATTTTGAAGAAGAACAAAAAAAGGGGGAGGCACGATATTCCAAACTCATCTGACGAGAAACAATCAAAGTGGCCATCAGATTTGGGGATACTTTTTCCTCCTAAATTCCTTGACAAGCAAGCAATTCAATTCCAACTTGTTCATAAACCCAAGTATGAGTTCCTTTTTATTAGCCATAAGTTTAGATGTTTTGAAATTATTTCTGTGGTTGGATTGAGCATAAATCTATTTACCATGTCGTTAAAGGTGCCCCGTTTACTTTAATCTAAAAAAAGGGAAACCTTACCCCGGCCAGGAAATGACTATTGTCATTCTGAGAGGTTTATTGTAATATTGCCCATTAATCTACAAGACCTCGCACCGAAGTCTATGAGAGAGGTATAAAGCAAGATATTCTTAGTATTATTTACAGTTTCCCCGCACCAGATGGGCATCGCCATTTTCTTGATGACGTGACGTACTATGCGAAGTTGTTTATCAAGTAACTGTGTTACAATTTATGGATGCTTCCATCCCTAATGTGTGTGGTGATGAAGTATTTCATTTACTTGCTACTATCTTTTGTAGTATAGTTGACAGAACGCAAATTGCATGAATATGTTGTTGTTCTTCTGGGTTGAAGGTTTCGCATACATCAAATAGATTTGTCAACTGCTGTATTTTAGTATTCAAAAAAAGAATGAATTACAATTGTTCCCCTGTTTTATATATTTTTTCACCAAATATAATTTGCACCTTCTTAGCTATGTTTTTCCCTCATAAAAAGTAAAGATTTTGTTACTGCACTAAGAAGCCTTTCCAACTAGATCTTGGTACATGATGCATGTACAACTTCGCTTGGTACGTCACATGATCAAGGAAATGGCTGTGCCCCGGTGTCAAGCTAAAAAGCATTACATCCTACCAAGAATATCTTCATTTATATATCTCTTGTACATTTTCGTGTGGAAAATTGTAAACTTAATCACTTGGCAGGAATAATTTTCACCTTTCAGCATATCTACACTTATTATTTGGGGGTGAGGTTCCTTTCATTAAAACAAAACAGTTGTTCCTCACTGATTCATTTGTCTGCCTTGCAGGGCTAACCATTCATCTCAGCTGGAATTACGATGTCTACAGCGGCAACGAGAAGCTCGAAATGAGCGGCAGGGACCTCATCCTCCTCAACTGCCTCATCTTTTCCGAGAAGTTAATGATCCTTACCCTGCCTGTCTTCGCAGTTGGCGGGATGGACCACGACTGCCTCTGGCGTCATTTCCACCTGGCCCTCTCGAGGAACCGTCGAAGTGAGCAGGAGTATTTCTGGGAGCGTCTCACCTATTACCTGCGCGATCTGACCGAGAATGACAGGGAGACTGGTATCACCATGTTTCTCTCCGTCGTCTCCCTGTACACGGGACTACGACTTGGCGTGCAAAACTTGGATTATTCCCGCCTTCCGGTGCATTAGAGGAATGAAGGTTAGGTTATGTTAGGTGTCAAACAATCGTTGTAGTCATAAATCTAGTCGATCAACTCTTAATACGCCGCACAAAATGATCTCCACGTGGCCACAGTGTATTTATCATAGGGTAGATGTATACAAAAGATTTAAGATTATTTAACTGTTTTAAAGTGCAAGATTAGTCTATACCAGTGTTATAACGGTTGTCATTTTTCAAAGCCATATTTTTGCCCGAATTTGTTCTAGATTTTTTTGCATGTTTAGAGGGTTAGTACAGAAGAAGGCAATGTAATAAGTAAGATTTCATAAAAAAATTACGCCGTTTTTTCATCAACCTTCAACAATGTTACCGTTTCACTTTAACTGGGAATTATGAAACGAAGCCCAGCAGTTAGAAAAAATATTAAGAGTAGCTGCTGGATGTACTCTTTTTTCACCCGGTGCACTCGGGGCTTTATTTCAATTGCTCCATGCAAGGGTATTCAGGAAAAAAGAGGGTCTTCCTTTGCAAAAATCTAAAGTACAAAGGCGTTGAATCAGATTAAATGGCAACCCGAACGTTGCAGCACACATTAACCAAAAAATAGAGGCTGCCCTTCCGGGGGCAGGGGGGGGGGGCAGGGGGGCAGGGGGGGGCAGGGGGAGGAGTGCCCCCACAATTTTCAAGTACCCCAAAAGTGCCCCTTTTTACATCAGAAAAGTGCCCCTTCCCTTTTTCACCCTGATAAGTGCCCTTTTTATTTTGACACGTGCCCCTTTTTTTCTTTCGACAGGTTTCCATTATCCTTTGCAATAAGTGTCCATTTTCCATTCTCATAAGTGCCCTTTTTAATCTCTAGTAAGTGCCCCTTTTCACCTCTGATAATTGCCCTATTCAAATCTTAGAGGTGCCCCTTTTACTTTGACAAGTGCCCCTTTCCCTTTGTAGGAAGTACCCCTTCCCTTTTTAAGAACTTCCTCTTTTTAACTTAGATAATCGCACCTTTTATTTGTGTGGTCCCCCCCCCCCCCCCACTTTGGAAGTCGCTCGCCGCCGCCCCTGCAAAGAAGATCAATAATATATCGATGTATACTTCATTCTCTGTTATGATTCAAATTGCACAATGTATATAATTGTTTTCCTTTCTTTATCAGTCTCATGAGGATTTTATGTCATCAATCTTTTCATACTAATTCAGATCTTATACTCTTTCTCCTCACCGGATGTTGAAATATTTCCTTAAGTTTTCCGAAATCATGTTCCATTCTCTAGCCTCGGTTTTTAAATTTCTTAAATTGATTGCAATAAGATTTAAATGACATATCGTCTGTTGAGAGCTGGAAGGTGGTTTTGTTTTATGTTATGAATATGAGTTGACGCTCTTCTGTCTTTTACAGACGATACACGGTATGATAGCTCACAACTTGATTCTCAATCTATGTAATGTTTGTAAACCTTAATTTTTTTTATTTTTTTTTAGCCTTTATCATTATCAATTTCATTATAAACTGTTTAATTTATAGACACACTTATTCCCTAATGAATTATGTTATATACAATCCTTATAAAATATTGTACTCGTGAGCTTAATTTGATTTATTTTATGTGTAATAGTTTCATTGTTTCACGTTGCTATTTATAAACTGTTTAATTTATAGACACATATATACCCTTATTAATTATGATGTTATATACATTGATTATAAATATTGTACTTGTGAGCTTAATTTGATTTATTTTATAATGTGTAATAATTTCATTGTAGCACGTTGCTATTCATTTATTTATGTATCAACTCGACAATTAATTGACTTTGTTACATTTTTTCTATCCATCGTTATCTATCTGTTTGTATTTTTATTTGTATTTGAAATTCAACCTCAAGTTTTTGGTTGCAATAAAGCAATAAATTGCAATAAAAAACCACAATAATATTTGGTTCATTTTTCAATCTTTTATGATTTTTCTTTTTACATTCACATATTTCAATGCGCACAGCTCACAGAAAGGTACCACTAAAACAGGGGTTCTGAAACTGTTTCCTTGACGGTCGAGATGTGATTTTCTTTGAAGGCTTAAAGGTCCGAAACATGGGATGCCATTCGCCCGAAAATGTTAACGGTCAATCGTATATTCAACTTAAGTAGAACAATGTACACCTGCTGGAAAACCGGACACGACTCAAACGTTCTACAATTTTGTTTCGGACTCAAAAGATCTACTCTATAAATTTACAGTAATACAGTATACTGAAGAAAACGAGGCTTGTTTCAGGTCTATATCTGATCTAAGGGGAATTGTTAACAGTTTTTATTTAAAAAAAGCAGAGCCTCCCGCTTCGTCAAAGTAGAGTTTCCTGAAATAGAGCAACAAATTTATTGGTGGAGTCCAAGCGTAGAGCCCAGTGTCGGGGGTCCAGGGGCCCAAGGACGCTCTCGAGTTTTAGTAATTCAGTACCTTCAAGAGGACCGTCTTGAGCGATGGAAACTCACACTCTCTCCTAAGGGTAATTTTAAACTATCGAGGATTGACTTGGGATCCACTTTCATTTTGGCGAATGGGGGGGGGGGATCTTAGGGCCCCTGGTGGGTTGTAGGGACAGTGCCCTCGCCAGGGGTCCAGGAGGTGGAGCCCCCGGAAGCTCTCGAGTTTTTAGCAATTCGGAGCTTTTAAGACTACTGTCTTGAGCGATAGAAACACGCACTATAAATACAGAATCTTTCATTGGTCGGGGTAATTATAACTTATACTTTAAGCTTCTACCGACCTTAAAAATAGTAGGCAAACTTTTGTCTACTCCTGGGGACGTTCTCAAGCCAAGTGATTATTCACAAGCTTTATTTCTGCTGCCTTGAGATCACTGGAGCGAAGATAGGTGACGATGAATTGCCGGTGTGACCGCGTAGAATGTAACCCGCACCGATCGTCCGAGTATTAGAGATCGATCGAGAGCGGACAATCGGTGCGGATTTTATCTGCGCAGAATGTCCGTGTCGGACATTCCGTGCGCGCCTCAAATGTCTGACGGACAATCTGTGCGGAAGAGGTCTCGCACCAATAGGCCGCCTGCCGCACCGAATGGCCGTACTCTAGTCCACACGTATACACAGTCAATACAAGTATAATTATACTTAATGAATGAAACTACTGGATAACCCATATTCAGCTTTGCCAGCTAGCTAGGGATGACACTACTGGTCTTCCCGGCGGGGATCCAGGGGGGGGGGGGGCGAAAGGGCCTTGACCCCCCCCCCCCACCGCCAACAAAAAATAAAGAGAGAGAGAGAAGGTAAAGCGGAGAGTAAGGGAAAGGAAGAAGAGGAAGAAAAAAAGTAAAGGGGGAAAAGAAGGAGATCGGGGGCGAAAGGGCTTCGCCACCCCCTCCCCCTCTGCAAAAGAGAGAGAGAGAGAGAGAGAGAGAGAGAGAGAGGAGGAAGGAAAAATAAGGGAAAGGGAAAGGAAGAAAAGAAAAGAGGAAAGAAAGAGATCGGGGTGGGGGGGCCGAAAGGGCTTTTCCTCCCAGGCTGTTGCCCCCCCCCCCCCCCCAGCAAAAAAAAAGAGAGAAGGAAGAGAAGGGAAAGAAAAAAGGGAAAGAGGAGATAAAGGGAAGGAAAGAAAAAAGGGGGGATATCAGTTGCAGTTTTGTCGCCAACAACATGGGGATCGGGGGGGGGGCAAATGGCCCTTGTCCCCCCTTCTACAGCAAACTTAAAAGAGAGAGAAAGGAAGAGAAGGGAAAGGGAGAGAAAAGAAAGGTACGGGAGATCGATTGTGATTTTTCCCACCAACGCGGTGTGGATCGGGGGCGAAAGGCCTTCGCCTGCCCTCCCCTGGCCCCTCAGCAAACAAAAGAGAGAGAGAGAAGGAAGGAAAAGAAGGGAAAGGGAAAGAAGAGAGAAGAGGAAAGGAAGAAGAAAAGAAAAGGGGGAAAAGAAGGAGATCGGGGGGCCGAAAGGGCCTTGCCGCCCATGCTGTTGCCCCCCCCCCCCCGCAAAACAAGAGAGAAGGAAGGAAAGGAAAAGAAACCAAAGAAGAAAATAAAAGAAGCGATATCAGTTACAATTTTCCTGCAAACAAGATGTGGATCGCGGAGAAAGACCTTTGCCTCTGCCCCCGCCCCCCCCCCCCCTCCCCGCCAAAAAAATAAGGAGAGAAAGAAGGAAAGGGAAAGAGGAGAGCTAAAATGGAACACAAAAGAGAAAGAAGAATAAAAGGGTGAAAAGAAGCAGATATTAGTTGCGATTAATCCCACCAAACATCGTGTGGATCGGAGGGAGGGGTGAAAGGCCTCTGCCTTCCTCAGCAAACTTAAATGAGAGAGAGAGAGAGAGAGACGTAAAGGAAGGAAGGGGGGAAAAAAGAGGAAGAAAGGTAGGGGAGATCAGTTGCAATTTTTCCCGATTTGTACCCCTCCCCCCCCCCCCCCCCCCCCAGCAAAGAGAGAGAGAGAGAGAGAGAGAGAGAGAGGAATGGAAGTGAAAGGGAAAGAGGAGAGAAAGGGACAGAAAACAACGAGGAAGAAAAGAAAAAGAATTAGGAAGACCAGTTGTGATTTCATTGGTTCTCCTATCATCATTGTTTAGCTATCATTATACAATGTATTTATATATTCACTTATTTATTCCTGTTTGATAACAAAAATATGAATATAAACTCATAACAGCAACAAAATTAAATGTAGAAGGAAACTATCTTGCTGGCAGCAAGAAGCGCAAAAATGATCATGCATTATTTTGCATATACATGTAAGTGTATCATTAATATCATTCATATTATTTAATTACATCTTGTGAAATAGTATGCTTTCAAGCTTTGGGGATTTTTTGTTGGTGTATTTGTATGAAAGAAAGCGTTTGGAGCTTATAATGCACATGTCGCAATTTCAGGTGCCACTTACTGTTCAAATATGGGACACGCACGGCCAGGCACTAGTGTAGGAAATCTTCAAATGTTAATCAGGTATATGACTAAATTACTCGTCTGTTGCCTTACGAAAAAGTTTATATTTAGTCAGGCCTGAATTGAGTCGCAAAACGATTATTGTGTTAAAAGGAAAAAAAACATATTTGATGACATTCGAAATTCCCCAATAACCAATACGACTGGAGAGCGAGTACTCGTTTTGTTTTTCTTTAAACTTACTCAAGTATGAATAGCTGGCCCGGATACTTGAGCCTCTCACAAAACTCAAATATAGGCCTGATGTGTCGTCAGGGGCGTCGCTAGACCTTTTTCAGTGGGGGGGGGGGGGGGGGTATAGAGGCCAACGATTACCGACAAAACAAGCCACCAATGTCCCAATATCTACAAATTTAACCCTATAAACCCGGGGCCGAAGGCTAAATTGTTATGCGCAAATGGTCATTTTCGTCGACGACATAAATAATATTTTCGTCAACTTAGTAAGCATGATAGCTATATATTTTAATGCAGGCGCGTAGCTAGGATCTTATTTTAGGGAGGGGCGGTATTGAGCAAGCGAATCACTTAAAGAGCGCGCAAAGCGGGCTCCTTTTGGTGGGGGAGGGGATGGGTGAAAGGCCTCTCGCGCGAAGCGCGGTAGCTTAGACGTTTCATTAATTTATTATAGAAAGAAGACGATTTGTTGTATACCGTTCTCTACTCTTAACC